CCCTTGCCTGCAGCTCCGGCGCTGTAAGAGCAGCCTTGGCAGCCAACCGGGCACCATGGCCGCCCTGTGCTCGGGGCGTAGCCGCAGCACGCCGGGCACACGTGTCACCAGCGGCCTGCGGGGGCCTCCGTTGTCCCTTCCTACGCTTCGGAGCGGCGAGCGCAGTGTACCCTGCGCCGGGTGGGTGCCGGAAGAGCTGGTGGTCCTGTGTCCATTGCAAGCAGCTAGCTCCAGTCCCAGTACCCCATGTGCCCACAGCCCACTCTTCTAGGCATCGTTCCTTCTCCCCGGCAGTGCTGGTTGCTTGGGGACAGCGTGGCCAGAGCCGAAGCCTGTCCTTGAATGTTCCCGTGACCCTCCTCTCCGCAGCGCTGCTGTAAAGCAAACACAGGGAGCTGTGAAGGAAGGCCCCCTCCTCTCCGGGCTAGGAGTGACAGGGGTCTCTAGCAGGGAGGAGAGCGGGCAGGGACGCTGGAGCAGGCTGGGCTGGTTCGTACCCCCGCCCCGACGCACAAGCGATGCTCAAGCGATGAGGGCTGCAGGAGGTGCCCGTCCCCAGGTGGATCAAAGGGAGGCCTGGGGGAACACAGCCCAGGCCGGTGACTCACGGCTGTGGGACTCCTTGTTGCAAGGCGCTGAGTCAAGGGAGTCGAGGGAGGCATGGGGGATTGCCCGGCTTCCCTCCCTCCCGGGCTGCGGGCAGCAGCCACAGGAAGAGGCTATTTGTTGAGTGGGAGGGTTTTATTTCCCTCCCTAATGTCCAGCTCTGATCACAGCTGGAAACCTCTTATTACAAGCTTTCTTTGGGGAGAGCCAGCCCTGTGGCCAGACGGGCAGGGCTCTGCAGCCCCGCGGTGTCCTCTGGATCCCTTTACCATCTACAGGCAGGGGTCAGACGGTTCCCGTGTCCCTGGGCTGCTGATGCTCCGTCCTGCTGGCTCCTTCGGTGGCCAGGGTGCCTCTGCCTGCCGGTCACCGCTGACTCAGGGTTGCACGCTGGGGCTGGGCGTGTGAGCCTGGATGTCCTCCCAGTATCTTTGTGAGGATTGGCCGGGAATCACAGCCAGGCTGCACCTAGAGGGCTGCCAGCAGGCGCTGCGCTCTGACCAGCAGCCAGCTCCAGTGAGGAAGGGGACTGGAGATGCTGAGGAGGAAAGCTGCTCTAAAACTGCTCCATAGTCTGATCTGCATGGTGGGGTGGAGTGATGTCCTGATGTCACTTGTGGGCTCCACTTCCAGGCAGAGGGCCCTGAGAGGGGCTGGGCTATCTGCTGAGCCCCAAACCACTGCAGACTCCTGGTCTTTAAGACTGTCATGTTACAGACTGGGGGAATTTGGGATGAGTAGCTTCAGGGCATTTCTGGGGGTGTCCTGGCTTTGATTCCTAGCCTGATCTTGGGGTGCCTGTGTTCTGGGGTTGCACAGGGCTCCTGGCTGTGCCAGCGGTGGCCAGTGGTGCCTGCTTTGTATTATTGGAGCAAGTCTCTGAAGAGCCCCAGGGACCAGGGGTTTGGGCATGTGGCTTTGGTGCTGTTGTATTTTAGAAATACTATTTTGTGAAAATGCCTGCTATCTCTCTGCTGCAGTTTACTGCTAGCTAGAAGATGATTTCAAAGTATTAGCAGGTTCTCCCTAGGGACAAGGTACATTTTGTTCTGTATGGGCACAAGCTCACACAAGCTGTGGTACCTATGTGAGACACAGGTGAACTGCATCACATGTGCATCCCTCAAGGTTCAGCTGTTTTCTTACGGTGCTAGGTCTGCTCCAAGGGCAGGAAGATGGATCACAGTGTGCTCCCGGCTATCTTTGGGAGGGAGGTTTACTCTCCCAGGGCTCTGTCCTTGGTGCCCTTATCATCCCAGCCTCCATTATCTGTCTGCCTAAGCCCATCTACAAACAGGAATTCACAATCTGTCTCGTGCCGGTGACAAACCTGCACTGCTGCTCTGCTCTGTAGGTCCTGTGGCTCTTCTCAACTGGGAGTTGCAGCCCCTGCCCTCGCCCAGCATCTGGCTTTTCCTGGCCATCCTGCAGCATGACTGTGTGGCATGGCACCCTGGAATGCAATGCAAGTACTTTTTTGAAGTTAGTCAGAATTACCCAAGCATTCCTGGAGGTGGCTAGGGGACTGGAAAGGATGTGGGGTTGGGAATTTGAAGGAAGAAGAGTAACAAAGCTGTTTTAGTCCTGGATTGCAAGCACAGACCATGTCCTCTTGTAGCCTGTAGCAGAGTTATTTGGGGTAGGGCTCCAGCAGTAGCAGCTGGCTGCACCCCTCTTGCTGACTCCTGCACTTTTGTTATGAATTTCGTAATGGTTTTGGGCTTATCTGAAGCACCAACAGCCAGAATTGGAGGAGCGCGTGACAGTCCATGAGGTGGCGGGAACTAGCCTGTCCCCTCCCTGTTCTGCATGTGTGGTGTTGGGTAGATCCTGGTGTTTTATCCATTCATCTTTCTCAGTCATGCAGCTGCAGAGTGAATCAGGCAGAAATTTTCAGTGTGGAGGCATCCTGAGTAATTGGAAGGGTCTTGGGCTGAAACCAGCACAGGGGTTTGTGCAGTAGACTCTCCTGAAAGCAAGGGGGAAGATCCCCTGTGCCACCTTCTGACCTGCAGCTGCGTCCCCTGCATGTTCAGGGTGCTGGGGGTGCCCAGACACTGTTTGCAGCACAAGTTGTTGGTAGCCCATGTCTGCTGCAAGGAAATCAGTGCTGGTCATGGGGCTGTGCAAAGTGTTTACCTGGCTCCCCATGCTCCTCGGCAGTGCTTTTCCCTCGAGGAGGATGACCTGAACTTAACATCGTTGGATGCAGAAACCATCTTAGAAGCTGAAGAGATCCTGGGGACAATGCAGAACTATCTCGACTCCTCTGTGATCTCCATCATTGAGGATTTTTCTCTGAGCGAGGTGGGAGCTCACACACAGATGTGGGATGTGGCAGCTGGGCTGGCCTTGGCTGTGGTATGGGGGGGTGGGGTGGTGGCAGTGTCCTCCATGTCCAGGTCTTGTGGCTGTCCCATCCCCCTCTGAGACCATCCCTACCTTTGCAGCAGAGCAAGGCCTGCCTGGATGCACAGAACGAGCTGTCCCTGCTGACTGCCATCACAGAGATCTTGGACAGCACAGATGATGAGACCCTGTCCCCCTTTGACACCATCATGGATGCAGAGCTGCTAACCTCACCTCGTGAGCGGGAGAATCCCTCGGTAAGTTGGAGGGCAGATGCAGCCTGACCCCAGAGCCCCTGGGAAGATGCTCAGCCAGGACTCTGCTGGGTCCTAGTATGAGGGATGCTCTGAAGTAGTAGGACCCTGGTCCCCAGTACTCTGAGATGTACTCTCATGACGGTTCCAACATGAGAGAAGTGCTCTGGCGGGCCATGCCTTCACCTTGGGTCTTTATATAGAGCCAGAGATGTGCCAGAGGCTTTGGGGAGCAGCACGTCCCCAGTGGGAGCTGTGTGCAGTGTGGGTGAAACAGGGCTGTTTGCTCTTGGGCTTTGTGGGGTGAAGTGCATGGGCACTGTGGTGCTGGGGGAGGCCTGTCCCCTCCAGCAGCATAGATCTGCCACTGTCTCATCTTCTGTCCATCTTTCCAGTTTCAGAAGTTTCTCACCTTATCTCGCCCATTGCTGGAGTGTGAGAGCCCTACCCTGGAACAGCCTAAGGCTCTCAGGCCTCTCAGCAGCAGCAGCAGCAGCAGCGTCTCTGTGGTTGGGAAGGTGAGCAGCTGAATAGGGGAAGCTGAAGCAGCAGTGTTGGGGTGGTGCTGGGATAACTGTCCCTGATGCAGCCCCCAGCCCCAGGCTTCCCTCCTGGCACAAGAATCCTTTCCCAGAAGCGATGCTTTTGCAAGGCACCAGTGGTAGTGGGAGAAGGGTCTGCCTCAGGGGCTGGGTGCCACAGACTGGGGATCTCTCATAGGAGCATTGGATTTCCAGCTCTACTGTGTTTTACTGGGCAGGTCAAATGTGTGCCAGCCTTTTTTGTCTGCTGTGGGGCTTTGCTGTAGAGTTGCAGCAGACCCAGTTTGCTGTCCTGGGGAAGTGCTGCTAAAAGCCCAGGAACTGATGTTTGCTGTGGTCCCCCTTTCCAGATTGACACAGATGTGACCTGGGACCGTGCTGCTCATGGCCTCGAGGACCCAATGCTGCCAAAGAAGCAAGTCTGCAGCACCCCAAGGGTGGAGCGGAAGGCGGGCTGGCACCGAGTCCGAGAGCAGCCCCTGCCACAGCGCAGTGATGGGGAGGAAGAAGAGGAGGAGGCTGCCTTGGGCCTGGAGCTAGACAGCAGCATGGGGGCTGTGGATTTCTGTGTGAGTGAGGCTGGGGCAGTGCTGGAGGAGCATGAAGACCCCTGCATCATCAATACAGGTGATGTATCCCTGAGTGAGCTGGTGAAGTCCATGCACCCCTACTGCCTGCCCACCTTTACTGTGTGCCTGGACCCTGACACTGAGCCTGTGGCCAAAGAACTTCTGAGCAGTCCTGTCTTGCTGGAAATTGTGCCTCGAGAGGGAGAGAGTGTGGAGATCCCTGTGGTCCTGCAGCCCTTGACTCCCAGCTCCTCTGACCTGGAGCCCCAGCTCCTGGGAGTAGAGGAGAGTACCAGGGAGTCAGTCCCAGAAGATCGAGGGGAGCTGCCAGGAGCTCCAAAACAGAAAAATGGGGTGGAAGAGGAGGAGAAAAAACTGCCTGGGAAAGAGCCTTCATGCACTGTCCCAGAGGCTACCTCCCCACTGGAGACAGTGGCATCTGGAGCCTCAGGTCCCAATGGCAGTTCCTGGCACAGTACAGAGGCCCCTGCAGATGGAAAACGTCAAGGCTCTGAGAAGGGACGGGGCCGTGAGAGAGCAAGGAAGAGTCGGAAAAAGAAAACAGAGGAGGGCCAAAGCAAGCAGGCCAGGCCTGGCAGGGACTGTGTAGCCCACCGGCTCCGTTCCACTGGCTCTGGACCGCCCCATGTCCAGCCAGCCATCAGCCGGCAGCGGGCAGAGTGTCCCTCTGTTCAGGTCTCAGACTTCTTAGCTCAACAGCTGGAACGAGCCCGGAAGGAGGGGCAGATGGAGCTGCATGCTGAGCGGGCACCATGCCCCCGGGGCAGGCCTCGGAGCACAGCAGGGGCCTTCCTGCCCAAGAAAGTGAAGCAGGAGCTGCAGAAGGAGCCAGCACCAGAAACAGTCAGTGTGGCCCTGGAGAAGATCAAGACTCTGGCACCCCTAGAGAAAACTGCACCAAGCGTGGAGGGGCAGCCAGCAGCTGTATGTCCCAGCCTGACAGACCAGGCTGGGGACCAGGGAGATGCACAGCCATCTGCCAAACAGAGCAGTGGGGTCTTGGAGGCTGCCTCTCAGCTCCCGGAGCAAGGTGTTGGGCTGGAGCCTACCCAGAGCCTGCCAGCAGCAGAGCCGAGTGAGGGCCTGCCTAAGGAAGCCAAGCCCAAGGCCCTGAGCCTGCGTGAGTACCGCATCCGCATGCTGCACCGTCAGCTCAGCACGGGTGGCAGCCAAGAAGGCAAGAAGCAAGTGGCCAGCAAGTGGCCCAGTGTCCCTGAGCCTCCGACAGAGCTGGCAGAGATCCCCTGCCTGGTGTCACCCATGCGCTCTGCCACCGAGGCAGACGGTGCTCAGAAGGGACTAGACAAACCCACCAGCCCTGCTGCTGTCCCTTCTCCTACCAGCAAAGCTCCCACTGCTCTGACTTCAGCCCCAGCACCTGCCACAGCTCCGCCACCCCCATCAACACCAATGCCTTTTGTTGCACCAAACGTGCCCCCAGCTGCTGGGGTGGCCCCCACTGGGATGCCGCCAGCCTCTGCCGGTGCTTATGCCCTTTACCCACCAGTGCCTTCCTGGCCCTGCTTCAGCCCACAGCCCATGGGTTGCCATGGTTTACCCCCACCACCCAGTGCCAGCTCCTCCAATACTTTTCACATGGTGCCTGGCCTCCCGCCTCCAGCCATGGCCTGGCCCCCTCCACCTGTGCCGCCCCCGCCTCCATTTGGCCCAGGTGGCCCCTATGCCCCAGTTGGGTGGGCACCGCCATCCTACTGGCCAGGAATCCCCGTGCCGCCTCCGGTGCCTTCCCTTGCGTACAGGGACCCCGGAGCAGCAGTGCAGGCCGTCCCCACCTTCCCAGCGGGCAGCCACCCTGGCACAGCCCTTCTGCATGGGCAGTCTCCTGCCACCCCTATGCTCAGCTGCCCAGAGCCACCAGCCTTCCCTGCCCAGTCGCCTGCTGCCCCGACCAGCGAGATGGGGGCTGCAGGTGGCCCAGCTAGGCCAGTGACTGGCAGGGTGTCAGGCCCCAGGAGGCAGGCACGGCTGGCAGGAGAGAGCTCTCTACCCAAGGCCCCTCTGGCTCCAGCCCCAGCCCAGCCCCTGCCAGCCCCCTCAGCTGCCACTGCCCAGCCCAGCAGGATCCCTCCTGCAGTGCCAGTCCCCCAGGCTGTCCCCACCCAGCCTCTGGAGGAGCCCCAAACTTCGGTGCCCAACCAGCTCCCAAAGGCCCCTCCAGCTGCCACCTGCTGCCCAGAAGAGGCATCTCCCATCCCTGTTGGGGAGTCCCCTGGCACCCATGCCATGGAGAAGGCTGTAGGGCCAGGCAAGGAGGCAGTGGAGAAAGCCCTGTTGGAGCCCGAGGCAGCTGCTGGGCAGGAGTTGCCTGGCCAAAAATCCACCTCCCAGGCTGTGGCACTACCACGGAAAGCAGGTCGAGAGAGCAGCCTTCCCACTAAGGCACCCACTGTGCGGCCATGGAGGCACCAGCCACTCCTCAGCCCAGCCCAGCCCAGCGACGGCAGCAAGGACATTGTGCAAGCCTTCATCAGTGAGATCGGTGAGTGGGAGGGCTGCAGGATGCTGGGTTGAGTGTCAGAGGCTGCAGTGCTGCTGGCAACCTGGGTAGCAGGACTGGTTCCTGGCACTTCTGGGGGTGAGGGTGGCAAAGCTATGCCCACAGGCTTGCAGTCTCTTCCCAGTGCTTTGCTAGGATGTCATCTACAATGGATGGTCTGGGCTGGCTGTCCTGAAACTACTCCATTCTGGAACTGGAGCTGGGTGCTCCTGTCCTTGCTGTGGGAGACACAGAGCTGCTGCAGGCTCTGTTATTGCTTTTCCTCCCCAGTGCTTGCCCTACCATCCAAGGGAGGCTGATGCAGGGGGAGAACGGGGTTGGGGTGCATCACTGCAGTGCTGGGAGAATTGTAGCTGATCTGACTTGCTGCGCTTTCTCCCTGGCCCAGGGATTGAAGCCACCGACCTGTCCAGCCTGCTGGAGCAGTTTGAGAAGTCTGAAGGTGCGGATCTGGCATTCCATCACCTGCAGGACTCCGGCCATGCCATCCTGGCCTCCCTGAGCTGTCTATGCTCCCTGTGTCAGGGTGGTAGTGGGAGGGTTGTGATGCTGCTGCTGCGGGTGGGCTCCTGTTACCCTGCCCAGGTGTTTTGTCCTGGGGCTGTCTTTGCCTCTATTTCCTTGGCCTGTGGAAACACACCTGGGGGTCCCCATGGCAACCAAAGGGGTGGGGAGGAGTCTGTGAAGGAAAAAAGGATATTCAGCTTCTATCTCCAGGGAGCTGGGTTTCAGGTGCTGTGAACCCTCTTCCAAGCTGTTCCTGGGGTGCTTTGTGGACCCTGTTCTTCAACCCCACTTGTTGCCACTCTCACCTAGCTGTTCTCTTTTCAGCCAAGAAGGAGGAAATTGCACAGCCCCCTGAGGAAGGACTGCTGACAGAGAGTTCTGGGTGAGTATCAAGAACTTGGCAGCTGATGCTCAGTGTGGAGCCCAGCAGAGCAAGGGCACAGGGCAGCTTTCAGTCCTGGCAAGGTATGAAGTGTGCTGGGGCTGTGTCCATTGGCCCAGGAGGGGCTGAGCTTGTTGCTGGACTGGGACAGAGCTGGACCTGAGGAAGAAAAATAGGGAGAAGCAGTGATGGGCATGACCAGGCTGTGCAAGCTTTATCCTTGCAGCTCTCTTGGATCCTCTGTCCTCGTGAACTGGCCAGTGGGGCAGATTGACTGGGCACCCCAGGTGTGGGGAGTGAGGCTGGGCTTTGTCTGCTGTGTTTGACAAAGCTCCTTTCCCATTCTTAGGCCTGAGATCCAGCAGGATGCACCAACCCAGCAGGACAGGAAGCCCCCAGATGGCCTGCAGGCCTCTGAGCTGGCCAATGTGGCAGGTAATATATACTTGGGGTGAGGGAAGGTAGTCTGCCATGTTGTGGCAGGGCTGTTGTGTATTTGGGGGGACACCTTGAGGAGGGAGGGGGGTCGGGACATGAGGGAGCCACAACTGGGTGGATTGTAGCAAAGGGCTGCTCCTATAAGTGTTCTGGTGCTCTCCCAGGCCTCACACCCCCAGCGACACCTCCTCACCAGCTCTGGAAGCCTTTGCCTGCTGTCTCACTTCTGGCCAAGACAAAGTCACCTGGGTCCATGCCCCAGGAAGGCCTCCAGAAGACGACCAAGCTGATGACAGCCAAGCCACTGCTCCCAAATAAGATCCAAGTGAAGAGCATGGTGCCAGCCCCTGCCGGCACAGCCCCCAGCCACGTTTGCTCAGGAGACCATGACTACTGCATCCTGGGTACACCACGGCCCGAGAACAGCAATATCCCTGGCACGCAGCCCCCTGCCAAAAGTGGCTCCCGCTGGAATGTCAAACACCACCGGGACATCACTATCAAACCCATCTCCTCCTTAACTAAACGGACGCTGGGCCAACCTGAGCCCACCCCACCAGCCCCTAACACCACCATGGGGCACAGCCAGGAGCCCCTGGGGATGGCCAGCCTAGCTCCCCTGGATTATCGGACTACCATCCCCAACAAGGCCACCACTGGGTGCAGCAGTCCCCCCACCTCAGTGCTCCTGTCTCCAGCTGCATCCCCCTGCCGGGACCAGGAGGTGCGGATTCCCAGTGCCCAGCCCAGCCATGCTGCTGCCAAGAGGTCCCTGCGCTGCTACCGGAGACCCCAGGACTCATCCTCTACTGACAGCTGGAGGGCTGGCCGGAGCCGTGCCAGCCGTTCTTTCAGCTCCAGTTCGGATGGAGCTAGTGAGTCCTCGTCTTCATCTTCATCCTCGTCCTCCCGATCCCGGTCACGGTCGCTCTCCCCACCCCCCAAGCGGTGGCGAAGGTAAGCAGTGCACTGTTGCTTGCTCTTGGGGTACTTGTCCAGTGGCTGGTCTTTTGCAAGTGCCCAGACAAATCTTTGTGGTCCTACTAGATGTCTGGATTTGATCTTTTTGTCCTTGTGGCCCTTCTGAAGAGATGTTTGGCTCATAGAGGGTGGGGGACCTGCAGCAACAGCCTGCCCATCCATTTCTGGCTGCAGCCCACATCTGGGCCCATATGCCTGCAAAGCCACCACTGAGCCGGACTTCTTACTCCTTCTGGAACACCAAATCCATGTTACAAGTCCTTGCCTGCATCTTTGGTTCTGGGTGCTTTTTCTGGAGTATTATGGCAGGTGTTCATATTTGTGCTGCTGTGGGGTTGCTACAGCCCTTGGTGTTGAAACGAGAGGAGCCACAGTGGAGCACTCCAGGGAGCTGCTGGAGGCAAGCAGGGAGAAACCTGTCTGGCTTGGCTGCCTTGGGGGCTCCCTGTTCTCTGTATGCAGGTGGCTGTGTAGGAAAGTGGTGCACCTTGGTCTCTGTGGGATGCATTTCTTTCAGAGTCCTTGTGCATTTGAGTGATGTGCAGCCTGTCTCAGCTGGGCTGGGAGGCACTGGAGCCGTTGAAGGGGTTCTCTTTCTGTCCTTCTCTTGGTGTTCAGCCAGTTCTGGAGATGTCCCTGGGCATGAGGGGCTTGTCCAACCAAGACCCCTTCATTGATGGCCAGTAAATGCAGAATCTGGAGCTGGAAAGGGCAGGTATAAAAGTGCCATGTTCCATAGATGTGCAGCTTGGGGATTGTCAAGCAGTATGTCTGGCTTGGCTTTCCAGCAAGTCAGTTTGCCTTGTGCTTGGAGGATGCCTCCATGTACTGTCCCACCCTGACTTGTTGTCCTCAAGGAGAATATGTAGCAGAGGCAGGCAGCATATGCCCTGCCAGGCCTGCTTTTGCCCATGGCAGGGAACACCTCTGGCCAGCATGTCTGGAGTGGGACTGTGCTTCTGACTGGAGGCAGCACAACTTAATCCCTGAGGTGTTTTGGTCCTACTGTCCTTCTTTCCCTGGCCCTGCTGGAGAAGCTCTTGCAGTCTCTGTTCACAAGGCAATTGAGCACAACACATGGATATAGTGTTGTCCTGTGCATCGTGTGGAGCTCAGCACAGAAATCCAGCCCTTTCTGGGCTCTCCCAGGCACAGCCCTGTGCTTCACAGTTCCCCCATGATTATTTCTTGCTCTTCAGAAACTGTACCTCCTTTGAACCTGCTTCCTTTTCTCTGTGTCATTGGTAGCCAAATGGGGGCAACATTTCCATAGTGTTGTTACTGCCCTGGCAATCTTGGGCAGAAACTTCCCCACGCTGGGGTCCGTCCGAGTGGGATGCTAGATACCATGGGGACAGTGGAGATCTTTTTCTGCTTTGGAGCCTCACGATGCTGGACAAAGAGAGGGCTCAGCTGTATTTCTCCTTCCCCCAGGTACCGCTCAAGATGTTCCCACAGCTCCTCCTCTCGCTCCAGCTGTGGGTCATGTGGCAGGTCCCGGGACAGGTCCTCATCCTCATCATCAACATCCTCCTACTCATCCAGGTCCACATCCCGCAGCCAGTCCCGCTCCCCCTCACCCCGCAGGAGGAGTAACAGGTGGAGAAGGTGAGCTTGGCCATGCTGCAGGGGTGTGAGCATTCCCCAGCCCATCTCCCAGCCTACTGTGGAGGAGGGATGGACCCACTCCTTCAAGATCTCCCTTGTGTTTGGAATCACTCTTCTGACACCCCCATGATTCCATGGCTCATGTGTCTGGTTTGTGCCCTGACAGATACAGTTATGATGCACAGGACCACTACCAAAGGCAGAGGATCCTCCAGAAGGAACGTGCAATAGTGAGTGATGGAGGGCTGGGAATCTTGGGCTGGAAATTTGGTGGTCCACAGCCCCTCTGTCATTTCGGAAAGCCACGGGGGGGGTGTAGCCTTGCCAGCAGCATTGCTGGGAGGCCCTGACCAGGGCACAGTGTGCTGGGAGGCCATGAAAGGAGGGCGCTTTGTGCGAGAGGTCCTGCTGATAGATGGGGCATCCCTGCCTGCAGGAGGAGAGGCGAGTTGTGTTTATCGGCAAGATCCCCAGCAGGATGACACGGTCGGAGCTGCGGCACCGCTTCTCTGTATTTGGGGACATTGAGGAGTGTACCTTGCATTTCCGCTCTGAGGGGTAAGAGCTGTGGGAAGATGGGTCAATCCCTTCCCAGGAATGACTTCTCTTGGCCCTTTTCCCATTACTCAAGGGGACAAGCATAACTGTTGCTGCTGATCTCCTCCACTATCAGGGATAATTATGGCTTTGTCACCTACCGCTATGCTGAGGAAGCCTTTGCCGCCATTGAGAGTGGACACAAGCTGCGGCGCCCAGACGAGCAGCCCTTCGACTTGTGCTTTGGTGGTCGCAGGCAGTTCTGCAGGAGGAATTACGCTGACTTGGGTGAGTTGTGCAACCTCCAAGTTGGAGGTTGGCCTCCCTGGGTCCTTCTCTGCTTTCCAGAGGCATAGGAGTCCCTGTCCTTGGGGTCAGTCAGGGTTGGCAGCAGAGTCACATCCAGGAATGCTCCTGCCCTAAAGGGAGGTTGAACAGGGGCTCCCTGTCTCTCCAGCACTGCGTTGGAGGCTGGTCCAACTCTGGGTCTAGAGGCTGGCAGGTGAAACAAGAAGTTTGCTGTGGGAATGACTAGAACTGTGCCAGTGTTTCTGTGGGCTCAAGACAGCCTCTCCCCATCTCTTCTAGATTCAAACCGGGAGGATTTTGACCCAGCTCCAGTCAAGAGCAAGTTTGACTCCCTGGACTTCGACACTCTGCTGCAGCAGGCACAGCGCAGCCTGCGGAGGTAGCGGCAGGCAAGGCGGAGCACCCGCCCCCACTTTTATACTCAAATACAAAAGGCAAAAAAAGTATGGAGAGAGAGGTGAGGTTTTTAATAAAATGAAAAAGGAAAAAAATTTGTTTTATAACCAATATTTAAGGAGGATGGGTCATTGGCCTTCAACTGGAGCAGTCCAGGCAAGTGGCAGCCCTGGGCTTGCCCCAGACGTATAATAAATGCGGATGCCCAAACAGCAGCACTGCCTTGTTTTCTCCTTTGTGTGGGCTATTCCTAGGTGTGGGCTCAGGCTGTGCCCTCCTCAACGCCCCAGGGACTCTGCCTGTGGTGCAGCCCCATGAAATATTGCACAGGTCGTGGACTGGGCACCGGAGTGGGATGTCTGGGGAGAGTGGAACGGGACTGAGGTCACCAACCATGTGACTGTCACTGTGGCAGCCTGCAGTGGCTTGGCACAGGGTGAATGCTTCTCTAAGGACCCCTGTGACTGTCTCCTGGGCTCTGCTGGTTGCAGGACTTGGTGCCCCGAGGCTCTCAGCCGTTTTGGGGCCACCTGCACCTCTCACAGTGGCCACGGCGGGGCAGTGCAAGATCCTCCACCGCCGCTCCCGGCAGTGGGCTGGGAGCGGGCTATAGCTCCTGGCCAGAGGTCGGCCAGGGCTCTGCTCGCTCTGAGCCCACTGCCCTGTGTGCCTGTCCCTTTCGAGCCTGCTCCTTGGTATTGCTCCGCCTTGCAGGAAGGAGAGGAGTGACATCTTATCTCTGGGTTTCCCCCGAGGGAGTAGTGTTTGTGTGACTGTTGAGAAGTTACAGCTGTCTGCAGTGGGATGGTGCTTGGCAGAAAAGGATAGCCAGTGGCAGGGAGGGATGGATGACGCCTATCTAGGCCCTCTCAGTGCATTGCAGCTCATGGAGGAGAGGAGTGATGGCAGGCGGCCCCCAAGGGAGCATCCTTGGGCCTGCTGCCAAGCATCTTTCCTGCTCTTGTGCTGGCAGTCAGAGCAAAGCCCTGCCTTGGACTGCTCCTGGGCTGTGACAAGCTTGGGGGTCCCTTGCAGGTGGCAGTGCTGACTGGGAACCCCAAGATGACATTGAGCACCTTCGCTTCAGGACTGGGACAGGCTTGGAGCGGGATGCAGTGGAGCCTGTTTGAGCCTTCTCTGGGTGCCCAGAATGGGCACATTCTGGGTTAGGGAAGCCTGCAGCTGCCCAGCTGGGCAGGGCAGAGCTGGGAGGGTGTGGAGGGAAACAGTGGGCAGGGGATGGACCTCCATTTCACTCCCAGGGTTTTTCATGGTGTTTGGGGTGGGAGGGGGTTGGTCAAAGTCCCTTCAGATCCTTTACTTGGTGGAGGCAGCACCCACTTCAATAGTGTGAGAGCAGGGAGGGGAATAGGGGCAATAAACCCAGCATGGGGGGGTTCAGGAAAGTTGATGCAGATGTTGCCACTTGGAGCGTGTCCAAGGCTTTGAGGCAGATGTGGCTGTGCCTGGGTGTATTGCAGCACTCTTATGGTCTGGCACTGTGGCTGGAGCCCACCTCTTCCCTTGCTGCTCCCCTAGATGGAGTGAGGTGCTCCTGCCTGCACAGCACTGGGTTGACTTGTGCTGCCCCAGTGCTCAGCCCAGGGAGGCCTCTGCAGTACCCAGGGATGTGGGGTACAGTAAGGCTGCCTGCAGGTGGGTTCTAAGTGAACTCTGCAGTACCCAGGGATGTGGGGTACAGTAAGGCTGCCTGCAGGTGGGTCCTGAGTGAACACCCAGCCTGTCCTCTCCTGCCTGGCCCTGGACTTTACACAAGGGAGGATCTAAGGAGGCAGCTGCAGGCAAGGGTGTGAGCTGGATAGGTGGAGGGAGGCAGGGGGCTGTTAATCAGTAATGCAGTTCTTCCAGGGACACTGAAGGAAAAGGTGGCAGACAGAGCCCAGTGGAGTCTTGGGAGGATGTGTGTCCCTTTCTGTGAGTTCATACAAAGCACTGTGGCTGCAGCACACCTGCAGGCCCTCTCCTGCCCAGAGCTGCTGGGCCAATGGTGGTGCTGGCCAACATTTCCCTGGTCTCAGAGCTGCCACAGCAGTACTGAGGGAATGTGGATCCAAGCAAGTTTTACAGGGAGAGCGTCTGTTAAGCCAGCTGTGAAAATGCTGTCCAGCTGTTGGGTAATTCAGGCCTGAGGAAAGACCTGTATCCCTTAGAGTTTGGCTTGTTTAGGTGATCTGAAAGTTTCTTTACAGCCTTTCCTCAAAACTGTGGTGGAGCTGAAGAGGCAGGCAGGATTGGACAGTGTTATAGGCAAGGTGAAGTTTGGCACAGGGGATGTCTGCTGTCAGCAACTCTGGGAACCTCTGAGCACCTTAGGTGCATGGATTTGGGCAGCCCTGTGAGCATGGCATCACCCCAAATATGTGTGCTGCTGACTGTTGTGTGAACAAGGCTGTGTCCTTGTGTTCCTACGGCTGGGCTGCACATGGTCCTCTTTCCTCTCACTGCTCCTGCGGGTGAGGAAAGGCAGGGGGTGTGAAATCATTTGTGTTGCCAAAAGAATTAACACCCTGCTGTTGTGCCCTATAAATCTTCTGAGTGTTAAAGGTTGGCTTTATCCCCCTGTGTTACAGTTTAATGGTTTCCGTTAGCAATAACCTGTCCCTGTGTTCTCGGTTATTGATTTCAGGTTTGTTGTGGAGGGTGTGAGAGAGTTGCAGAAAGGTGTTTTCCTGCTGTCCAGCCAGTAGCAAAGGCTCTGTTGCAAAGAGGAGGCAGGAGTGTGGAAAGCAGTGCACAGCCAGCTCTTTGGAAGCATGGGTGCTGGCAGGAGCCCTCTGAAGAGAACTGGGGACAGGGGCAAGGAGCAGCATTTGGAGCACATTCCTTGCTCTGGCAGGCAAGCCAGAGGCGAGGAGCAAAGCTGAGACTTTGTAGGAACCCCAGTTCTCATGAAATAAATCCTCTTCACCATAGGACAGCCAACCTTCCTCCCACAAGCAGTAGCATCCTGTGCTGCCTATGCGAGTGGCTCTGCCCTGAGGTGTAGCAGCCTATGGCTGGGAACCACACAGAAGGTGTTTTTTGAGAGGTCTCTAAGCAGAGCTGGGATTTTCACTCTGTTTCTCTTCAAAGCACTCTCAGCCTTTCCCCTTCTGTTCCTGCTACAGACTCCAATCTCCAGCAGTTGTCCCTTCTTGTACCAGGGCCTGTTATCTACACTCTTCTTCTGGAACAAATCTTTAAGGGATTGATGCTGATTTCATGTCTTCTTCTCCCTTTTCCTTCTTTCTTGCGTTAGTATGTTCTGAACATGATCTCCAAGCTAGAAACCAGCTAGAAGGGCATCCAAATTGTCTTTCATAGTAGGTAAAACCTGCAAGATGAGGGGCTTGTGCACTATGCATAAGCTAGTTTGGAGCCCATATGCAGAAGGCAGTGGGGCAGCAGGAGAGTCTGACAGCATCACTCCTTGCACATCTCTGCCCAGGGCTGAATGCTGCACAGCCCTTGTTCTCATTGCTTTGCAGAGCTCAAAACATTTCCTCATCAACAGCAGAATCCCTTATCCTCAGGAACCGTTATTCTGGGACCATGGAGCTGGGTGCTGCTAGGTGTGGAGTACCCACATTTCTGTGAGGTGGGTGTGCTTTCCCACACTTAGGATATTCCCACTTAAGATGTTCAGCATATTCCTCCTGAAAGCTGACACGGACCCCTGTGGGCAGAGGTACCAGGCAGGAGCCTAGCTATGATCCTTGCTGTTGACACCCATTCCTGTCCCTGGGACCACCAGTTCTTGAGATTCAGATTTACTCAACACACTCAAGGGCTTGGAGCTCTTGACCTGAAGCAGAGGTTGCTGCTGTGGCATATCTGTGCCTCCCCAGCCTGGGTTCCCTCCACTGGGAGCCTCACAGGGGTACCCAGCTCCAAGGTGCCTGCTGAGTGGCCATGGTAGTCTGATGCTGGAAGTGATGCAGGTGGACTCAGAGGATCCCCAGAGAGCTGGGAGAGGTGCTCATCCTGCTTTGGCTGCAGCACCTGCAGGTTTGGGGCTCTGTCACTCTCACCACACTTTCTCTGCTTTGTTACACACTCCTCATTCCAAATCCCTGCCTGTCTGCCTGTAAATAAGCCTCGGAGGCCCTCCAATGGTTGTGTGTCCTTTAAATCTGTGCTTGTACAGCTGAGAGCCTGAGGGTTAATGCCCCTGTTCCCTCTTAGAGCTGCTGCTGCAGTTACTGTGTGTGCTTGTGTTTCCATTGGGCAGCCTTCCAGGTTCACCCTGTAGTCCAGTGTCTAAATCTGGGAGTAAACATGCAGTGAACATCCTCTTGGTGCCTCTAGTCTGGACATCTGCTCCACTTACCTCACAAACCAGGTGCTGCAAGTGCTTTCTGACTCCTCTCAGAAAAAAAACCTGCAGCTCTAACATGCTACAGGAGGCAGGCAGGGAGATTAAGGGACCATTGTTCTGAAGTTTGGCAATGGCAGAATTAATGAAAAAAAATTACATAGGATCCAGAAAATAGATGTGAGATTGGGAAGGTAAAAACCTGAAGCAAAACAAAACAAAAAGGCCCAAACCAAAACCACACAAAAAATGCAACCACAATTTTTCTGTCAATCTAGGAAAATTCCCTCCTGACCCTAATCTGGCAGTAGCGTTAAGCCTAATGTGCGAGCAGACCTCTGGGACTGTAATGCTAGGAGCACCAATGCATGAGACCTAGAGCTTGCCTTTAGTTTCACAAAGGAAGGAAAATCTCAGTACCTTTAGGAGCAAATTAAGAGGGAAATGATATTCTTCATCACAATGACCAGCAGAAACCCAGAGGCCTGGGGTAAAACAGCACCTCCTTCAAACACCCTTAGCACTGCTGACTCCTTGGCCAGCCCAGATCTGTACCCCAGGCTGAGCCGCCCATTTCCAGGGCTCCTTCACTTACAAATTAATGGAGGGAATTCTATCAAACTATATGTTAAATTAATGCAGGTTTTTCTGCCTCATTACCCTTCTTGGAAGGCTGGTCCAGGAAATCAATCCTGGCAGGGATATAAGCTCTCTAATTCACCATTTAAACTTCTTAAATACTTTTTGCCATTATTGTACATCTTACATATTTTATTTATAATTTTATTTTAGTGGCTCTTCAAAAATACATCTGTCCTCTCTCAGTCCCTGTCTGGCCAGAACAAGCCAAACTCTTCTAGCAGATTCTTAATCAGCTTGTATTTGTCTCAGCATCCAAATAGTTTTTCTCTGTGCAGTGGAAATTTATCCTTCCTGGATGTAGAGCTGCAAGGATATTCTGGAGGAAGTCTCACAATGCCTTGCGCAATGGCAATAATGTTTCTGTCTCTGCTAAAAATAACTTGTCTGATGCATCCTAGCATAGTGCCATTCCTTTTTCACAGAAGCATCACGCTGCTGCTTCATATTCATCTTTCAGTGCAGTAAGGTCTTTTTATTCCTTCGGAGCCTTCATTTCATCAGTTTGTAGCAAATGTCCTTGCTGCTGGTCCCCAAGTGTTTTAATCTGCCCTTTCTGCCATTAAGTTTCACCCTACTTCCCTCATCCATTGACAAGGTCAAGGTCCCCTTCTTCCCCTATGAGGAACTATTACTCTCAGCACTTGCAATACCTCCCAACCGTCTGCTCCCTCTGCATTTTGGGAGCTTGCACTTGGCTCTTCTGAAATTACCAATGGGTTTACTAGCCTGAATTTATTCTCAGAATCTGTGGTTAATATCTGTCTGTAGCCTGACAGATATTGTCATGCTTGTGTCTGATGCAGCCTGGCCAGTTTCTCTTGTATCTCCTCTCCAGCCTTGGGACTCATCTTCACCTTTAGCAGCAGTTTCTCCTGGTTTGTAGTGCATCATCCTTTACTCTGAACTGAGTGCCTCAGTCTAAAAAACTGGCAGCCTTATCTAAGGGATTATTTCTATTGTGCTGTTCTTATTTCATTGGGTATCTCCTCACTCCCCATGTTCCCCTCATCACCTTTACTGAAACAGAGTTAAATCCACTTTTGGGGTTTGATTGCAGCTGGTTCATGTCTCCTCTCCCTCACCTCTCTTCCTGCAGCGCTACATTTGGTGTCTGCTCCTCCCTTCAGGTCTGTTCCCTGACTGATGGAGCAGGCTTACCATTCACTGAAGCTGTGTCTGAAATGATGTGTTTTACGTTACACTGAATCAATATGGAAATTTTCTTTCTGTCTTGTCAGAGGATATCTGAGCATTGCTATTCTGGCACTGTTTACTGCCTGGCATTCACTGTGAAATTAAAGACTCCTCTAATTGCACAGTTCCTACTCTTTATTCATCTTGTAGCTTTGTTGAAGACAGCAGTTTATTCTCAAGGCTACATCTGGTGTATATGTAGCCAGCCCCTGAGAATAACTGTGCAGGGTCCTTTCTACCACCCTTTCAGACACCTCCTCAGGACATATCTTATCCATGTCATTCCCTCTTATGTCCTTACAATGACCTGGTTTAACAGCAGTGCTTCACGACTTCCTGCTCTCCTCCTACCAACCAGGTGCTGCCAGCCAGCCTCCACTCTTGCTTATCTCTGTGGCTTTGTTCCAGGTGGCACATTCTGCCTGCACCAAGTGTTCCAACGCATGCTGGGATACACTATCCTCTGGCTCATCACCTTTCCAGTATGCCAACAGTCTGGCTTGCCTGATGTGGCCACAGCAAATGGCAAAACTTGGGAAGAAGCTTACAAAATCAGTAGCACAGGCTGTCACAAAATCTGAGAAGATTAAACTTGTACAAGGAATGGATGATGGAGATAAAGAACATGATGTTTCCAGTTTAACCTCAAAAGACTCTGGTTAGGTGATGACAGAACATCAGGAGACAACAGTGGTAGGACAAATGGATTTAACACCTCTCAGCTTAATCCAAGGGAGACCCACAAGTCTGTGTGAAAATGCTAAACAAGGCAAATTGAGTGTGACTGGAAGGCTTCGTCAATGGGTGAGTTACAAGGTTGTGAAATTGTGTATGATATCAATATAGCATACAAACTCTGTTCCCAGGTGAACTGGTGAGTATTAGAAACTGCATCTTCAAATAGCATATTTTTAGAGTCAGGAAGTATATAGAGAAGGAGCAGAAAATACACTTTTTCAGTTACCAAGAGACAGTTGGAGCTTGTTCCTAAGTAAAGCAGCTCTCCTTCAAGTACCTGGGGGTAGAGTGATTCCTGAATCCCACTCATTCACTACAGCAATGCTGCATAAGCTCAGGAAACACGACTTTACCAGCTCTAGGCATGCAACCCAGAGCAGGCATCATTCAGATGGTCTGGACCACAACGTCTATCGCCCATCAAAGGACTTGTGAAGTGCACAAAGAACATTGACAGTATGGTGCAATGAAGATATGGAGACCAGGAAATGTCTGTGTATTGGAACTTGTAACCTGGGATTGCACTTAGCCTGTAGGCAAAGCACTTAATTTTTTATAAAAATGTACATTAAGTGAATAAGAGATGATCATAATGTTTGGGGAAACACCTGGTACAATGAATGAGGAGCTCCTTCAGTCTAAATTTGGGTTTTTATAGGCTATGAAGCCTGGCTAAGGGACACTTGACTTCACTGTGGTACATTTTCACCAGTGGACAAGAATGAGTTCTACTTAGAATCTCATGTGAGTGAAGAGACCTGCAGGATATATCTGTTCATGAATTATAGCTGTCACTGGAGGAAAATGAATAAATCAGACTCCTCCGGATGTTGGTGGTGGCAGACTTCAGAGAAGGCAATGCTATTAATGGCGCAGATAAAAGGAGTAGGTCAGAGCAGGACAGTGCCAATAGCAACCAGGGAAAGAGGGGACAGCAGCCAACGCCACTTACTGCTATGGACAGCTGTTCTCTTAATCCCTATCTCTATCAACATCTCTGAACATCTCTATGTGATAGCAAGGCTGGTGAATCAATAACCCCTCCCAGATCCACAAGCTGGGCTCAGTTTTGTCTTCGTATTCTCTCTCTCCTGGTGCTTTGACTAGTGGCTAATTCCTCAGACCTCTGTGCTTCCCATTTGACTATTCACTTCAGAGCTATCTATTAATGAATTGTAAGTTAACAGGGACTGAAACCTGGTCTAAGACCCTCAGCCACCACATTATTATTTATGCAATATGTCCTTCAGTGTGCTGGAAGCCACATGTTGGAGTGAGGCAATTACAAGGCTGGACCCAAACTTCAGTCTAAATTTTACATATATCCATACATATTCCAAACAGCTAAAAAACGTTTGGAAGTCCACAACTGTGCTTGGTGATAGTAGCCTCTAGTCAGGGTAATTTTTCTGCACTGTTCTTCCCTTAAAGCTCTCTGTTGGGCCCCTGAGTCCCTGTAGGCTTCCCCCTACTGTGTAAAACATGTCTTTATTAGTAATCTTCATGTTTTCAGAAAGCTGCTCTTTGAAAATTAATTTGGCTGGCTTAAATGTGTTGGGTCATGGGGTTTCATTATTTATTTATTTATTTTACTTGGCAGAATTTGGGATTTCCTGTATTTCTTCTTTGGCCATACTTATTATTTTGGAAGGATTTTTTTTTTTTCCTTCTAAATGTCATCTTTGTTCTACTGATTAACTGTACCAGACTTGAGGTTATTTATTATTTTAACTTGTTTTTAGAACACTTCGAGTGATGCCGTATTTAAAGCTTTAAATGAAGGGTCTCAATGTCATTGCAAGCATTTGTCCTTTGATCAGCTACCTAAAAATTCTTCTTAATTACTCTGCTGACTTCTAACTTATTCCATTTGGAAGGAGAATATGCTCATCTCCTTTTTAAATTACATTGCACTGCAGTGTACTTTTCCGTTGCTTTTTCCTCTCCTGACATAATACTGTATTTGAGCACATTGTGTTCATAAAGACAAGGTGACTCTTCATAATTACATTTCAAACTCCCTCCTATGTACTACTCATGACTAAATCAAGAATTCATCCTCTACTTGGTTCCTCTGAGTGGTCATTCTAAGAATTATTCCATTTATGAGGGCTAAAAATGCAGTCTTTGCCTCATTATTTGACATGGTGTCTACCCAGTCTGTATTGGGGGTAATTAATACCTCCCATTATCATTATGTTTTCTCTCCTGACATCCTCCTAAGTCCTTCAGATGCTTTTCATTCTGGTATCCTAATCACGTGGTCAATAGTGTATGCTCAGTATCACTTAGGCACATGTCAATGCATAATTGTTCTCTAGTAGCTTAAACAACATCCCAGGTGTGCTTATTTCCCTCTTTCCTTCTTTCCCGTTCCCTTTCCCGCCTTCCCTTTGACAAATATTCTACTACTAGTCTGAATAATTTTCTGTGGTTTTATATCTTGAGCTGCTACTCTGGCAATCATTTTCTTACTGCAATGAGACAAAATCATACATTGGCTGGGGTGGGGTTTTTTGTTTTGTTTCTTTTGTAGTTGTTGCTTTTTTAAAATAAAATTCATATGTTTGATTTCTAGCTTTGGACTTTGCTCCATGAAAATGTCTTCTTTCACCAGCTGTTTTTTCAGTTTGCTAAATGTAGATTTGTAGCTTGAAAGAAACCTTTTATCACCTTGGAGTAGGGCAGAGATATTTTCTATCTGCATGCTGTCCCCCAGCTCTTCTGTAGTGCAAGAAGCATTTTATGGTCATTGCTCTAAAAATCAGCTTAATGTGTATGAAGACACTCAGCATTTTTATACCCATACTGTTCTTCCTAGGGTATGATGATGGGTATGGTGACCATTCCTTAATTTCCTCAATCTCCATTCAGAAACTGCAGAGCATTTTCTGCTTTTCACTTCTTGATTATGAGAGCCAGCTTAAGCAGAACATAGTACACTGCATCAAGTAAGTCAGTGGTTTCACATCTGAAAGGCTTTAAAGTTCTTGATTAGTCACCTGTCACTGAGCCTCCAGCACCTCCCTCACACCTTTACGGTGACCACAAACCTGTTTATCGTTGAGCAGAGTTTTGAATGTGGCTGTTGAGTGCAGAACATGAACATCTGAAGCCATTTCAAGCACTGCCTTCATTCTTGTAGTGTGTATATATATATATATATATATATGTATATATTTATAGAGAGAGAGAGAGAGAGAGAGAGGTTTTATGATGACCAACTTTAAATTTTCGATCACTTTGCACCCTTTATTTTGGGGACACTGCACCTGTCAAGTTGCTGGTGTGGAAAACTTGTAAGGTGCAACTGCTTGTTCCACTTGTCTGTCTCTTAGGATGCACCAAGGCTTCCTCGGAGTTACAGGCATGCTTTGTTGAATTAATGTTTGGTTGTTTCCTATTTCTACAGCATTTATAGTTTTGGCCAAGCTCCTTAATGAGCTGACACACACAAAGATGCTGTTGTCTGCTAATCACTCTGCTAAGAGCTTTGGAACTATGCTGTGATTTGCCACCATTCTTGTAAATTTCATAGAATCAGACTGAAGTTGATTAAGTTCCTATGAATTTCCTGATGGTCAGCACTGACACAGACGAAAAATAGCTAATCCTGTTCCCTTAACTGGGGAAAAAGCAGAACCCAGCACTTACCTGTTCCTTTGGCAGCAAAATGGCTCAAGTATCATGCACACGTATGACCAACAGTGCTGCCTCACATGGCTGTGTCACACAGAGAATATACACTTTATGTGTGCCAGGGACAGTGGCACTGGAGCAAAGCATTCAGAGCATGAGAACTGTCTCGAGTCATGCTGCAGTCTCAAGTCAAATGTGTTGTGGACAACTTGGCAGTTCCAGCTCTACCCTGGTTTCAGGTGAATGTTTCCTCAGCCCCTAGAAACAGTTACAAGCTGACCTAGTGTTCACCTCGCTGCATCACCCTTCCTTTTATTACAAAGGTGATCTTTTTTAGTCCATTTATTCAACTGTCCAGCTTTAATGGGGATAAACTCCCTGCTGTAAACCACAGATTATTCCCATCCACCTTACAAATCTATTGCTTTCTATTTATATTAATATCATTTCTAACAACACATTATCTTGCACCCTGAAATCCATCCTAAACTTAATGAATATCTCTCTGCTTTCAGGCTGATAGTCTGTCCATCTCTAGTGAGGCTGCTATTGCATGTGACAATAAATCCCTTTGAAAAAGGGATCAAATTGCTTCTCTCTTCATCCATCCTACACACACTCAATAGTGCTTCTCGGGCTCCTGCCCAGCAGTGTAAGTCACAGTGTTTCCCTTACCACTATCTGGGGACCATTGTATGTGTTGCTCTGTGCTGTTGTCAATTGCCTGTTGTCTGCCAGTCTCATCTCTTGCAGGATGTCCAGTTGTTGTTGTTGTACACTCGTGTGAAAATGTGGCCCACAGATTTTGTTTGGATGGAATGACTTTTGGTGCTCAGCAAATGCTGAATATATTGTTGAAAGTTAATTTTGTGTCCCTTCCCACTGACTTGGGTAGACTTTCCAAAGTGCAGTGTTCATTTTGTTGGAAAGTCTCCTTGGCCTGTGATCAGTCATGGCCTCCTCCATGATGTCACTTTCTACCTCATTAGGTTTTATTTCAGTGTAGGCTCACATGCATTTGTGTGAACTCCTTCCTGCAGTGGGCATAGCACAAGCATTTGGACTTGGCTTGCATTATTTTAACTGTGTAATCCAGTTTTCTGCGGGGAATAATCCTGTTCTGGCAAGAAAACTGAAGAGTTAGTATCTCTCTCTCATTGCTATAAATCATTTAACAAAGGCAATATATTGGAATTATGCCACATTCCTCAGAAGAAGAATGTTTAACTTTCAGTGAAGTCTCATTTGTTACTCTTCTTGCTCAGACCTAGTCTGTGTTTGCTTCTGCTTGGCTGGGACTTCTCAGAGGACTGGGTCACTACATTCAAAAGTTTACAGATTCTGGATAGAAACAGAGTTTATGCGATACGATAATGGGCAGAGAGTTACAAAATTGAATTTGTACTTTTCTTCTCCCTTGTCTTTGTTCAAACTTGTGGTTCAGTGCTTCCTTCCTGACACTGTGATACCTCACATTTCCACTGGACAGATATCTTTCTCACCGTTCTGTGTTTCCCACACTATCTCTCCACAGCAGGAATTCTGCCTAATCTGGACCCTCTCCAGTACATGAGGTATTACTCTAGGGAGAAAACCCAACCTCCTGGTCTAGGGCCCACAACAAGGGCTGACTGAAGCCAAGGAAGCTACAACACATCCACAGACTCTTTTGTACCCTGTCTCTGAGGTTTGTGTGCACTTGGCAATGTGCTGCTGCCTGGACCAGATTGACAGGAAAGTTTTTGCTGAATATCCACTTAAGAAAGAGGATAGTCCAAGGCTGCTTGTGCACATCTCACTTTACTGCAGCTGGCCCCTTTCATTCAGACATCTGCTGTGCCAATGGAAAAGGTGCCACGTTCAGAATGGCGTTGCCTTGAAGACCAGCCACACAGGAACCAGAAAAATCAGCAATTTAGAGTCTATCCCCTTTTCCCATTGCTGTGTATTCCTTCTGCATGACCACAGAAGCAGGCAATTAATGGGGCAAGAGGGTAAATCATGCTTCTACTGAGTCCCACAGAGGTCATGTGATTCTATCGGGCCGTTTTTAATTCTCACTACTTCCCTGCCTCTGGCATCTCTGTGGCTGTAATGATATTGGGTGTGGTGCAAGACTGTGTGAGAAGACAGGTTTCTGCTCAAATGTCTTTCTGAGTATTTTCTGTTCTTATGGCAAAACGGATGTTGGAGAGACTTGCTGTAGGACCTGCCTTGAAAGTCTTACCTCTGAGATGCCAGGCTCTGCTTGGTGTTAAGTGAAATTGTCTGCAGCTCATTAACATCAAAGCATTTTCTCCACTGGTCTGGACAGTTTAGTAGTAACCAGCAGTCGGACCAGAGAGCTCTCCACTAAGCATTGCCTGCAAACAATTAACATCAAAGGGGAGCCACTGTGAAACAGGAGGAAAACAATGTTACAAATGTAGCGAGTCTCATGGCTCATGGAAACGGGGGGGAGGCCAAAGCTGTGTCCCAGATAGGCAGCTTGTGCTGAGATGTTTGCAGGACCAAGTACAGGAATGGCTGCTGGGACCTCCTGATGGTCCTGGCCAGGAAAATGGTGGATCCACTTTGGTTTGAATAAACCTGCCTGATGGTGTTGGTGGCAGCATGGTGCAAGCTCTGGTTTATCAAACTTTGTCCAGCCTAATTCTAGGATCGAGTCAGATCTGCCCATTGCCTTGGTAGTTCTGTGATTACTTCAGCTGTCACTTTCGATGAGACTCTTGAGGCCAGTCTCACTGTTCTTTATACCCTTTTTCTCCATCTCCCTGAACACAAGTTTTAGCTTGTGATTCTAGATGCTGCTGCTCTTTTATAAAGTGGATCTTGGCCCTTTGTTTGCTCCTCCCCTCAGGAGGTCTGTGGTATTAAACCATTTTTTAGATTACAGGATTGTTGCCTTTCTCTAGCTCTCAAACAGGTTTTCCTTATTTATGTAGTAGATCTTTTGGTTCATGCTTTCCTCATCCTCTTCCTCCCTGCTTTGGTGGTAGGTAAATCCAAACAGTTGTTATTCATCATGGTATCAGTCTGTGATTAGCCCTGGGGAGGGCAACACATTATGGAAAATTAATTAATTTTTATATGGGTCCCAGTCAGGAATTAGAAGCTTTATGATAGGTTCAACACCAGTAGAGGGTAGAACCATGGGGCTGTCTCAACGAGTTTGCTATCTAAACATCAGTCTATGAACAGAAGATTGTGAAAAACCCCAAACTGTAACTCTCTAATAATTAATGCTGGGAGTCCACCCACTGTTCTAGCTGCCATGCAGACTGCAGGCAGAAGTTAGCTGCTGGAGTTTAGACCACTCAGGTTGCAATCCCTTTGCTTTGATTATCTACCTCTCGGGAAATACATACTTCTGTGATTAGTACAGTGCCTAGCAGACTTAAGAACTCTGACTTTAGTGAGAGACATGTCTGGACTTTGAGTTGAATGGAGATTCTCCACTATTGGATATGAAGACATGTAGACCCATTGAATGTAGAGCCATTGAAGCCAATGGCTCATCACATTGAAAAAAGGGTGAAACAAAGACAAAAGTACATCACCAAGTATACAAACGTATATCGCCAACAACTGGAATGAGATGCAGCTAAGGGGATCATTCCTGAGCATGGGTGCCCAAAGAGCTCTCCTACTCTTTGTGGTATAGAAATTCTCCATAGGTCATCCTTTCCCTTTTTTCACTGTTAATGGCTTTCAAACCAGGACTGGGATTCTCTAAACCTGTCTGCTCTGCTCATGAAAACAAGCTTCACCTTACCCTCATAACATGGAAGCTGCATCTTCAAATGAGCTTTTGCCTCTTGCTACTCTGGTTGCTGTCTGCTCTGCGAAGTTCCACCTCCTACCGTGAGAAATCATCCTCTTGATTTCCTCCAGGACAGTATTAAGAGCCAATTGATAATCTTTCCATATACTTCCATTGGCCTTTAGGTAGCTCTGTCCATCTTTCCCCACTGAAGCTTCCCTGGTAGATTGGCAGAGCAAGTACACCTTGGGTTTGAGTTACTTTTGCTGGACTAGCCAAACTGAGCTGTCCTGATCTCCTTTTGTAGGACTCTCCTACCTGCCCGCAACTAATGTCTCTTGGCTCTTTGAACAGGACAGGTGGCTTACTGCAGCTACAACAGCACCTGAACAGTAGCTCAAACAGTTCTTTCTCCCCAGGAAATACTTTATCCAGGACATCCAAATGCTGCAGCTGCTTTTGACCAGCCAGCTTTGCACAGCCAACTTTGAGCTCTATGCTTTTTTAACTCCCTAGTCATGTGTGGCTAGGCAAGGTGAGGGTAAATGGCTCTGGTGGTTAGGGCAGGGAAATAAAGGCTCTTGGTCTCTTTGTCTCTGGCAAGGTTTGGAGTAAGAGACTTCACTTTACAATCCTATACCCTGAGCTTCAAAGAAGCTGGTAGCAATGTTCCTGTCCTGCATGGGCAGAATGCAGTGTCATGCCTTCCCTAGACTGTCAATGTATTCCCTGCTTGCTGTCATAACTACATCACCAGCACCCTTACAACATCTGAGCTCACCTGGAAGGAGGGTCTTGTGCTTGTGGTGTAAGGCTGCAGCACAGGAGGTGGCTGAGTCATGGAGCTGTCACTGCAGGGCCTCCCCGTTACCACAGGCACGTGCCTTCCCTTTGCATCATGCCCACCAACAGACCTGGTTATTTTATAACTACATGGTGGAGCAGATGACGAGATTTCATCTCTTCCTGATGGAAAACTATGCGGCCCCATCCGGGCTAAAATGTCCTTTAAGGAGGGATTGTAGCTCTGGGCACAGTGAACCCCCAGGAGTGCGCTGTCGCCTTAGGACACAGTGCACTCTCGTGGGTGTGATGTCCCCTCAGTCACAGTGACCCCTCTGGTGGCATGTCGCCTCAGGCACAGTGACCTCTCAGTGGTGGTATGTCCCCTCAGAACACGATGACCCCCTCAGGGCGTTCCCGCTCCCTCACGAAAGGCACAGCGCCCCCTAGCGGATGGGTGCGGCGCGGCCGCACGTGCGAGCCGCTGGCGGGCGGCCCGCGCATGCGCGG